ATCTCTGAGTTGTGAAGAATATGTATTAAGGTTATAGCAACCAAAAATAATACACTTTTATGTAGAAATCCATTATTAAATCAAGTCTTCCTGACTAGTGATTTAAATCAAATCCACCCTGTCAAATTCCCTGTAAATGTCTGTTGTAATGTTTTGAAAAAGGAGCCCTAGTTCTGCAACACAATTTTCATGAACTAACTTGTGACAGAGGAACTGAAACAAGAAAATTAACTGCTGCAATGAATCATCTTCCTTCCTTTGAAATGCAAAGGCTGGGTTTACTACATGTATTCTGACATATTATGTGTTTAGGTACCTCTCCATAATGATGTACTGCTTACTTACTTGGTATGTCAGCTATATAGCCAAAGGTCCAAACAAATGCAAAGACCTCCTTCCCTGCCATACTTGGCACTGAGCCAAAGTGGCCACATCTAGAGATTTTCATTTCACATTCTACTTCAGAGAACATCAATGTAGGGCAGACGAGAGCCATGAACAGAGCCCATGGATGAGTTAGAAGATGACAGAATTCTCCAAAACATATATGAAACAAGAAGGCTCTCCTCCCTCTACTTTGTACATACAATCGATTCGGCACAAACCCCCAGTGACCACAAGAAAATATAGTTCATTATCAATTTAAAACGTAACAAAGTGGATGCCTATTTGCAATGAGTGTGACTGGGAAGCAATGGGCTTACAACTCAATGGGCTGCAACTCAATCTGCACAGCCTGCATGGATGCTAGCATGGAATATCAGGGCTCAGTTACTCATCTTTCAGATTTACCATTTCAAAATTTAGACCAATGGAAGATTATCTACAAATAATGGATGAGGACTTCTATGCAGGTGCTGTAAACTGAGATAGAAGGGTTAGAGTTTGATCAGCCATCTCAGTACAGAGAAACTCAGACAGGTTAAGAGATATCTTGATTTCTGAATTTCATAGTGGTAACACAGTAAGGTCCTGACAATATATCCAAAGCAGTAGATTGAAGAAGTTTTATTTAGCAAACACTATGTTATATATACATCCAACTCACTTCTCACAGTATTGGTCTTACATGGTAAACTAGCTGTTTCAGTATCCTAAGGTTACTACTACTGCCCCAGTTTACACACACTATCCTTCATTCGGGTAAAGGTTGTTTGCATAGAAGTGCCTAACAGATAACCATCCTATTGAATAAGAATTATCTTTTAAAGCTGCTGATTGGTGCAACTATGGAGGAGGTAAATCAATAGGCTCGTTATATGCTAACTAACATACCCTAGAAAACAGTAGGAGCAAAGTTACTTAGGTCAATCACTAATCAGAAATGTAGATTTTGTAAAAAGTTAGGTTTTAGGAAATGTTTCCATTATTTTAATAGAACCCAGAAGTCTGACTCCCAACGCCCTGCTCTCCCCACTAGATCACACTTTTCACGAAGAAAAAACATATAGCGAATCTGGGCCGGGTTTGAGTTTCGGGTAGAAACCACCAAAATGTGGATTCCACGCAAAGCCAGGTGGCTCCATATGAGATTTGCATGGAGTTGGAGAATTTGTTCAACCCTGAAACCAAGGACAATTAGGCGGTGGGGCGGGGATAAAAATGGGGTGCTGGGGAGAAGATTTGGGGGCGGGGGGAAGAGAGACCCAGTGCGAATGGAAATCGCTGGGTTGCACGCAGCCAGACACACACAGCCAGACACACACAGCTGGCTATCAGCTGCCTAGCAGAGCCAACCCGCCCCAGGAAACAGGCAGATCAGCGTGCCACAAACACAGCGCGTCAGCCTAGGGGATTACAAGCCCTTTGCGGCACAGCCCGGCTTGCACCCTGCAGGGGCAGCCCGGCTAGGGGCTGACCCCCACTCCCACAAGAACAAGGACCGGGCTGTGGGGAGAGGGGTCTGAGGGGAGTCCCCCACCATCGGGCCGGGGAGGAATGGGGGAAAGCCGGGCAGGGGAGTAATCCCCCGCCCCCCCAACCCTTGAGGCGAGAGGGGGCCCCTCATGGTTACGGCGGGAAACGACCCAGCCCCCGCAGGAGCCGCGCGGGCTCCGAGCCCCCGGTCCCGGGTCTCACCGCCGCGGTGGGAGATGTGCCGGCAGCGGAAGCGCTGCCGCTTGGGCCGGTGCAGCAGTCCCGGGCATTTGAGCAGCAGCGCCGAGGTGAGGAGGTAGCCGCCCAGCGTAGAGACCAGATACAGGGCGACGCCGGCCATCCTGCCCGCTCCCACCGAGCCGGCCGGCCTGCGGCAGCCGCGCACAGGCCCGCCCTGCACAGCCGCAGCCACTCCCCCCCCGTCAACCCGGGAGAGGGAACGGAGAGCGCAGGCGCGCAGCCGCACGCGCGAGAAGGGGGCTCGGCCCTCCCTTGAGGGGAAACTGACCCACTTCTAACACTTGGGGGCTCATAGAATCATAGAACTGGAAGGGAGCGCGAGAGATCATCTAGTCCAGTCCCCTGCACTCAAGGACTCACCCCCACCCCCTCGAGGGGAACTCACCCCCCCTTCTAGCCCCCAGGGGGCTCAGCCCCCCTTGAGGGGAATTGAGCCCCCCTTCTTGCCCCCAGGGGACTCAGCCCCCCCTGCAAGGGGGGAGTCAACCCCTTCGCCCTGCCCTATACACCAGGGAGTGGGGGTTAATCCCCCTTTCCAGGCTCTCACCTTCCCTGACGTCATTCCCTGCCCCACACACAGAGGAGGGGAATTAACCTCAAAACCCTCCCCCCCATCCCAGGAGGTGGATTAATCACCTCCCCACAGATTGTACCCTGCTATTGCACACATGGGGTTAACCCCCCCCCCCCAGCCTCTACCTTCCCTAAGAGGGCTCTTCCCCCAAGGAGGACTCATTCACTTCATTTCCTCCCTTCATCAGAGTATTTAGACCTCTTTCTTTCCCCATAGCAAGATTAAACCCTGTCACACAGCACAGGGGAACTTTATGCCATGGAAGGAATTCCCCTTCCCATCCCTCCTAGATGAGGGGCTTGCCCCCATTTCACCCCAGCAGGGAGTGCTCCTCTAGGCTTCCTCCCCCCAACCTCTGAGGGGAACCTCAAACCCTCTCCTGCTTTCTCCAGTGGTTTAGGCAGAGCATATCTTTGAATCATCTCTTTCCCTCACCCAGCATACAAGCATTTGTGTCAAGTTTTATAACTTTTCACCTACAGCCCTTAAACCTCTGCCTATGGGCATCCTTACATTCTCCCCCATCCCATCGTCCAGGCAACCACAGGTGCTACCCCTTTCACCTACTTGGGATGGAAGAGGTAGCACCCGCACAGAAATGGAGATGCTTGAGAATGTTTTGATTAAAGATGCCAGTCACATGCACATCACTGGGTTTAACACAGCCCTAATATGGACACAGGGTAAATCAGCAGAGGGTGGCTAGCCTGGAAACAGCCAATTGCTTGTGATTCAACAGGTGTAAAACAAGTGACTGAAGTACAATTGACTGAGTGTGCCTGTGAATGCCTCTTCTTATGGAAAGCACAATGGATGTTTAATAACCAGCACCGTAAAACCCCATCTAAAATAAAATCATACTTAAAAAACTATTGCAAGAATGGTTTCTGGGATCAACAATAATAATCTCTCTGTTAAACTTTCCTTTTTGGAGGACAGTACCAATGTGACATAGGCCAGGTGTGATCAATAAACACCATAAACCCAGGAATTTGTGTAATGTTTTGCTTGTTTTAGAGGGAGACCTACAGTGCCTATTACATTATCATAATCCTCCATTCATTCTGGAGTTTAAGTGCACCAGCGCTCACAACGCCACCTGAAAGAGGTTAGAGGCAAACTTTCCCACATACCAAGGCCAAAAGTGGGATAAAGATCTAAAAGTCTGATAGATTTCAGACAATTAGACATTTAAAATTAATGGAGATTGGATAGGAAATTGTTAAGAGTTTAGGAAAGATTGATTGTTCTTTTGCTTGAATTGGAAGCAAGCTGCATTTGGCCATTTAATGTGTAAAACTGCACTAAACCCAGTCTTCATGTACTGATCATTTATGAGTTTATCAATTATGGCAAAATCTTGATAAATAGTTATTCCACAAAGACAACATGATCTGCACCATTTTATCCTTGATAAGATATTTCCACTCCACCTTCTTCCTCAAGTGAAACAGATTAACTTTCTTTAAAGTTCAGTAATTTATGATCAATGACAGCATACACATAATCTGAATATAAGATTGACTCTCTGAAAACCAAGCCCTTCACTTCAGAGTTATTTGAGATGGAAGAGCCTTCCAATGGGCCAGCTGCTCTAATCTCTCTACAGCTGTACTCCTGTACATAAGTGTTATACTGCATAAGTGCCTTTCACATATATTTTACAAGCACCATCAACTGTTATCAGCTGTTTTGGTTCCAGGGGAATTTTCCTCTTCTTCCAGTAACAGTTTAAACATCACTTCAGTTTGTGTATGCAAATTCTTCTGCTCTCAATGATGTTTCTCTATTCAATTGTTGTATGAAGAAGTTTGAACAATTTAGTAATCTCCTTCTTAAGTCTTCTGCTCTAGGATCTCAAAGCACTTTCTAAACTTTCATGCATTAAGTCACATAGCAGCCCTCAAGAAGCAAGGGAGGTATTATCCGCATCGTATAGTTCAGAAAATGAAGCAACCATTTGAGTAATTTACTTAACATGGCAAATAATTGGAAGGGAAAAGAACCCACTCATCACAATTCCAGTTCTGTGCTTTAATTGCAATAGTAGTGCAAACTGGGAGAAATTCTAACCTTTTGTTATATGCTACGAGGGCTTTTTTGTTTGTTTTTTTAATTTTTAAACTTGTTTTAGAACGGGTTTCAGTTGTCAATATTTTATCTTTTTTTTTAAGCACACCTAACCATGACTCAGGTGTAGGAGCTGATTTCTTATGGCCACAGCTATGGCACTGGATAGATAATGTTCAAAAATAAGATCTGGTTGTCTGATCCACAAATATACACCTATTTTTAATTTATTTATTTATTTTAATATGTCTGACCTGAATGAACAGGGTTCCTGGCTCTGATGGAATTGAGAAGACAAATCCAAAAATGACTAAAGATATCTGTAATTACATTTTAAAAACTCAAATACAAAGTTTCTGCTAACAACACAATAAGAGTCCATATTTTTGATTTAAAAAGGCAGGTTAGAGAGACAAAAAGATTCTCTTCTCACTGTCTCCATCTGACAAGTAACAGCTTGATTCCAAGCAGGGGTAATTTTAATATAAGTTCCTAAATATGTAATTAGGGACAAGGAGTTGACTCATGAAAACATGTAGGGACACAGGCTCAGACATATAAAGATAAATTAAAAGTCGCCGGTTTCTACATATGAAAACTGATTGGTAAACAGAGAATGTTGTCATGTTCCTTTCTCCACTTTGATACTCAGAACTTTATTCTGAATCTGGACCCTATTCACTTTACATGCAGTGGTTTCACTATACCAAGCAGTGATTACTGTTTAAGTATCAACAGTCAGGAATCAAAATCCATAATTTGGATTGAAAAAACAAGTCACCTTAAACCAGGACCAATGTACCAGAATAATTCTTATTGTGTAATGGCTTTTAGTATTCCTCGAACAACCTTATAACTCATTAACTGCTGGTTTTCTTTAGGAGGAAAACAGGGTCCACGTTCTGTCACATAAGCGTAAGGGAATCGAAGCACCCACAGTCCATCAGGCGGGAGGGTTATTTCCTGTTTCTCAGGGCAAAATACAGGGCAAGGCGGAGGCCCTGGTTGAACCTGAAAAAAACAACAGAGTAAGAAATATGTTAAGTGCTTTAAAAGATAAAATCAGCAAACTATTGGAATAAAACCCTCTCAAATAACTAAATTCACACTGGTCTATTAAGTCTCTACTAAAATGCGGTTTAAAGCCACTTCAGTGCATTTTTAGAAGACAGTGTTTAAATGCTGTTCTTGCCAGAAAGGAAATAAGTTTCAAACCCGAGTGTGATCAAGATGCTGAACTTAAGATAACAGATTTGGCATCAGATCACAAAGGCCCTGTTTCACACTACAAAAAAAAAAAAAAAAAAATCTAAATTTAGGGACCCAGTTGCATCTGTGTAGTGCAGACAAGAATAGACTGCTTCAACTGTGACTCAAATTGTTCTACCACCTTGGATTTTTCAGGACCGTAACGTGATTCGAGAGCACTTAAAATATTGTTTATCAACTGCACTAGAAGACTGAGCGGTGTCTTAACCAGGTCAAGAACTGATGTGATGTAATTTTTTCCTTAGGCATATTAGATTTTCACAGGGTGGACAAGGGCCTTAGAAATCATATCACTTATGGACATAAGTATCACTAGTTGATTTAGCTTTTTCCTTGCCATTTCATCCACATTCAACCCTAAAGAGGAATTTTGATATATCACCATTAGGGCCTGATCTTGCAGCTCATACACAGGCAAAACTCATGGAAGTTAAATGCGGGTCTGAAAGATTAGACTACAAAACTGAATCTTAACCACTGAAGTGAAGTTACTGCATTTCGTGTATGTAATTGGTGCCATTTCACTGCTGTGTGTAGCTTTAATCATTACTACTCCTGCTTGAACTTACAAAACAAAAAACAATTTAGTATGTGGGTCTTTAAAGTCTCCTCTAAAACAGGTTCGGTTTGCTTTGTAGGAATATAGCACTGGAAGGGACCTCTTGAGACACTGAGTCCAGTCCCTTGCTATCACAGGCAAATCAGTCATACAATTCCATTCTTAAACTTATCAAGCTCCATCTTAAAATTAGATAGGTTGTTTGCCCCCATTACTCCTATTGGAAGGCTGTTCTAGGACCTCACTCCTCTGATCAGAAACCTTCTAAATTTCCAACCTATCTCTCTCAAATAGCTCTTCTCCATCCCTGATGCCCATGCCCAATGCAATTATAGACAGCAATCATATTTCCTCTCAGCCTTCATTTTGCTAGACTAAACAAGACACCTTTTAGTCTCCCCATATGATATAGGCTTCCCATTCCCCAGATCATTCTAGTAGCACTTTTCTGTTCAAGTTTGAATTAATCTCTTTTGAACATAGGTATAGGAATGATCCCAGGGCACTTTAGGGGAATAGATGGTTTCTCCCCACAACTGATATAAACATACTGTGTGCTGGCTGCATTTCAGTGGTGCTGTATTATTTACTTTCAGTACCAACAAATGAAATTTTGTTGCCATATTTTACAAAGTGCTATATAAATGGTAAGATTATTCCATGACAGAGTACTATTGGAAAACACATCTTGTTCATATTTCATTACTTTAAAAAAAAAGTAAGTGGGCACATATATCAAATATCAATTTCCTTTTCCCAGCATCTAGAAATAGATGAAAATTACATCTTTTTCATTCTACAGATTCTGTCCCCAGAGTTCAGAGAATTGAAGATAAAAATCCAACTTAGCCATGAATCACCATTTTTCTGTGAAGACATTTTAATTTTTAATTTATGTTCCCATTGTTCAGTAGTTATTTTTAAAAAGGTACTTTATTCTGATGCATTTTTTGTGGCATAGTATTTAAAATGTCTTTTCAACCTATTGGAACTCCACTATGTCATCTGTGATAAAATGTGTATTAAGAAGAAAGTTATGCTAACAAATGCTAAAGTCATAACAGTCTTGGTGACTGAAGAAATATTTGCTTACAGAACACGTACAGCATTTGCAACTACACAGCAAACTTCCCCACACCACCATTGTACTCAAACCTGATCTGCTGGGACTCTCCCTAAGGAATGAGAAGAGACTTATCTTCATTCCCCATTCAGTCCTTGGCTGAAAATATCAAGGAGCATTCCCAATGAGGTGGTGGTTTACATGTCGTCTGCCTGCTGAGAATTTCTGAACTAAAACCGGCCTATGAGAAATGGGTTTGGTGCAACAATCCAACAACTTTTGGCCAATACCAATTTGGATTGACCTAAAGAACATTACAGACGCTCCCCGGGTTCCGCAAAGCTGACTTACACAAATCTGCACTTACGGAAAAAGTTCCATATTTTATTTTATTTTTGGGGGTTGGGGTGCAACATAATTGTCGGGTAAACATTCCTGACTTACTCAAAATTTGACTTACGCAAGGCGTTCCAGAACGGGGAGTGTCTGTAATTAAATCCTGGTTCAGGTTGGAAGGAACTTCTTGGATTATCTACTCTTACCTCTTCAACGATGAAGGATCCTACATTCCTTTGTGTGTCCCACAATAAGTGTTGTTAATACACTTTTTAGAGTTACATTTTGCAGTTCCTACAGTCACTAACAGGTAGCTAGATTCTATTTTTAATTTCTTACCTGAGGTGTCAGTATTATCTGCAGTGGAGCATCTGGCACTACAACAAAGAGTCTTATAAACTGAGCATAATATGGTTTAAGTCCTCGTCCCTGAGTTGATGAGAGGATGTATAAGGGCATATCAGAATTAAGGGCTTTTATAGCAGATTCTTTTGGCCCACCACCCATCACCTTCATGACTTTCTCAGGCCCTGAACACATGAACCTCCGACCACGGGCATCTTCATATTCAAATCCAACAAAGGCTCGAGCTATGTCATCTCTCCTCCTTCCTCGTCCCATTACAACTGCACTTCGTTTCCCAGGAACAGCTTTATTAGGAGCAGGCCAGGAATTAGTGTCTAGATCTCCCTCATCTTCAGCTCTTGTCCTGATGACAATGTCCCAAGGCATTAAATAGTTTGTTCCTGGGATGAAGCCCTGTTGGTCTAAGCCTGTGTGGAAGTTATAAGCTTTAGCAGGGCCAAGTTTGACCAGTGACCAGCTAGAGAATTTGGGAAGAAGGCCCTTAGGGCAATTAGAATGGAGCATGCCAGGAAGATACTCAACAGTGGATGCCTGGCGATCTACCAAGCTTGGCCTCTTCTCGCTTTTAGATTCTGATGCTTGCCCGTGAGCCTCTGCATTGTCTCCTCCACCTTGAGGATCAGCTGGGTAGGTGCCCAGGCTATCCGTCGATTGACCCAAACTAAGGGCTAAGCTCAGGCTGGTGCTCTCTCCCTGGGTTTGAGGCTCTTTTTCTTTAAGTTTCTCAGCTTCTCCTTCTGGAGGGGCAGGTGAGGTCTCATCCTTGGCTGGTGCTGGATCAGGTGTACTCGGCTGAAATATCGGGAAGTTGATGTGGTCCAGTTTCCCACAACATTTCTCTTCCAGCAGCTGTGAAAGATGGAACACAGTTAACTTGTCATCTGTAGTCTCAATGTTCACATAGCTCTGAATCACAAAACTAACTGAATGCAGTTTAATATAATAAGCTATAGTATTAACAAGACAATGCAATCTAGCTTCAAGCAAATATTGAGAGGCTCTCTTTTGGTGAAGTGGGAACCAGTGCACTTCTGAATGAACTACAGACACTATGCACATAACTGTTATGATTAGGCCTGGTCCACACACTGTTTTTGTATTAGTATAACTATTTTGGTTAGGGGTATGATTTTCTACAAACAGTTAAAGATCAGTGCAATCCCTAGTGAGGATGCAGTTATATTGGTATAAAGGTGCCTTACACCTTCCCTTATAAGCTACACCAATATAAGCACCTCAATACTATTATTGCTGAACCCCTGACTGGAAGGTATGGAATAGTACTGCTTTAACTATCCTAGTATAGTCAAAGTGGTACAAATTTGTGATTGTAGAAAAGCCAGTCGTTTACTGCTTTCATGGAAAATGAATAGGTTGTTCACCAAGCTATTCAGATGGCGTGGGTCTGATCCTGCAAGGTACTAGTACTGCTGTTAAGGCAACAGGAGTAAAAGCTGCTTGGGTCTTACAGGAGCAGGATAGAAAAAAAAGTAATATTTAAATAGCCTAAAACGCTCTTCTTTTTCCCAAGCGCCCCTTTCACTTAGGTCTCTCTCTCGCCTTGTGGTCAGAGGACTCATTTTCTTCCATCAAATCCCTCCTTAACATAAACTAACGCAAAGACCATTTTAAAAAAGGCTGTACAGTACTCCCATGCCAGCTCTAACTCTTATTGGAACACTAGGTACTAGTTGTGTCTGCACTGTTTTGTCTGTCTCAGACCTAGACTCCGATTTTGAAGTCTGAAGGGAGCATTATGATCATCTAGCCTCATCTCCTGCATAACCCAAGACACAGAATCTCACCCAGTAATTCCTGCATCAAGCCCATAACGTCTGTTAAAACTATAAAATATATATTTAGAAAGATATCCAGTCTTGATTTACAGGTGTCAAGTGACGGAGGATCCACCACATCCCCAGGGAAATTATTCCAATGGTTAATTACCCTTGCTATTAAAAATATGCACCTTATTTTTAGTCTGAATTTGGCTAGCTTCCGCTTCCAATCACTTTTTCTCCCCCCCCCACCCCCATAGACATTTATAGACCACAATCAAGTCACCTCTTAACTTTTTCTTTGGACTCTTCAGGATAAGCTGTGCCTTGTTTGTATAGCACAAGCATAGCTATGGCTTAATAAATAATATTTTCCTTTGAAGCAAAAATGGAAAGCTAATGATTACCTGATAGAAGTCATAATTGGCTGCTTTGATATCAAAGGGATCATCCCGGGGTGCTTGTTTCCTCCCACAGTTACAGGCACCAGTGGAGCGAGCCCGGCTGTTGTGATACAACACTGGAGGGTTTCTATCTGGCTCTGGTTTTTCCCCTGAAAAAGTAACAAGATTAATTGGTGTTTGCTTCACCCCATCTGGAGAGATACTTGTATAATTTGGCTATCTTCAACCCTCTTCTGCAATGATCCCTCATACTTCCCCCCAAATTACTTTCCAAAATTGCCAAACCCCTTCCTTGTGTTTGTTATACAACCAGTTACAAAGGCCCTTTGTACACACTGAGCTGCCTTTCTTGCCAATTGCTTATTGTGCAGGATGTGGAGCTGCTATGTAATAATTTATGTTCCACCATTTGATTGTTATTGTGTTGGCTATATGACTGCAAGGGGTTAATTTAAGCAGAGGATAGATAGCCCCCCATTTATCAATATTTAAAAAACAATGCAACTACCATTTACTTTACATTTTACCTCTGACCAAGCTGATTTCAACAATCTGGCTTGGGAGTCCCCATAGGGGGATCCAAGCAGAGGAAACTGGAACAGTGAAGTTTGGATGGATAAGAAGATGGTCCCTGAAGGATAGGAAAAAGTGAGACAAAGACTGCTGGGGAGTAGACTGAACCCCAATCCCTAGAGGCAAAGGGGTCAGGGATTAACTAGGACTACTAAACCTTTAAGTAAGTCAAATATGCATATAGACCTTTTATTGTGTTGAAATCCTTTTTTCTTGTTATGCCTTGTTCCTACTGTTAAGATAAAACAATACATTGTTTTGAAGAGGCTGTTTTGGGTCACTGTGTTAACCACTGGTGCTCAGTCAGGCCTGCAGAGTAATCATGGGTGGTACGCAGTGTGCGGTAGCCCAGTGACCAGATCTAAGAGTGTGAAATTGTGTTGTCCTTTTACCAGGTGAAAGCAAGAAAACACACATGTGAGGGGATGCACTCAGACAGGTCAAGGGTGCATCTAGGCCTTAACCACGACAGTTACCAGTTCTTGCTTGAAAGGACAAATGGTTCTTCTGGCGATTTATATATATTCCTTGCACAGTAAGGCTCTATTTTAAAATAGCATTTGCACCTCCCTAGGAAACCATCTTTCTAAGCTGGATATGAGTCAACAGTGTGCCTTTGTTGCTAACGGCATTTTGGGCTGTATAAGTAGGGGCATTGCCAGCAGATCGAGGGACGTGATCATTCCCTTCTATTCGACATTGGTGAGGCCTCATCTGGAGTACTGTGTCCAGTTTTGGGCCCCATACTACAAGAAGGATGTGGAAAAATTGGAAAGAGTCCAGCGGAGGGCAACAAAAATGATTAGGGGGCTGGAGCACATGATTTATGAGAAGAGGCTGAGGGAACTGGGATTGTTTAGTCTGCAGAAGAGAAGAATGAGGGGAGATTTGATAGCTGCTTTCAACTACCTGAAAGGGGGTTCCAAAGAGGATGGATCTAGATTGTTCTCAGTGGTAGCAGATGACAGAACAAGGAGTAATGGTCTCAAGTTGCAGTGGGGGAGGTTTAGGTTCGATATTAGGAAAAACTTTTTCACTAAGAGGGTGGTGAAGCACTGAAACAGGTTATCTAGGGAGGTGGTGGAATCTCCTTCCTTAGAGGTTTTTAAGGTCAGGCTTGACAAAGCCCTGGCTGGGATGATTTTGCTGGGGCTTGGTCCTGCTTTGAGCAGAGAGTTGGATTAGATGACCTCCTAAGGTCCCTTCCAATCCTGATATTCTAGGATTCTAAGGACATCTGTCCAACTAGCATGGAGAGAACCCAAGTAATTAATGAGTCCAATCCTGCAACCTTTATTCACACCAAGTAGCAATTAGTTTTTTGGGGGGAGGGGTTCTAAATCAAAATTACATTTGGGGGGCAAGTGATGACACAAGGAACTGAGAATAGGGTGTGGAGCCTTTAACCTCTAGATTACTAGTTCTAATACACCTGTTACCACCATCTGATTACTGTTTTCTGTCCTCTATGAAATGAGTTTGGTGGTCCCATCCCACGTATACACATTACACACACCACCACAACTGGCAGTCTCTGCACAGACAGCCAGGACTGAACTGACCATGGAAACTCAACTATTTTCAATTCCTGGGAGTGGACACTCCCAATCAGGAGTGGGCACTCAGTAGGGATAATTAAGTGAATGCTGCAACACAGCCTTTGCTATAACTATCCCTTCAATAAACAGAGAAATGGAATCTAAACCCATCATTCCTGCACTTTGCATAAAGATTAACATTAGACACAAGACCTATTTTTAGAGTCTATAATTTACTGTACCTAATAGTATTTCTTTTAAAATAAAGCCAGTTTTAAAATTCAGTGGCCAGTCAAATAGGGAAACATTTTATGGCTTAAAACTTGTAAACGTAAACTGCAAAAGGATCCTAACGCAACTGAGCTTAGTTACCTGATTTTGGGAGTAAGTGAAATTTATGCACACAGTGCTGATCAGTTAAACTTCGCTCCTCGCACAGCTGATGCCCGTTGCTCCAGAACTTGTAACAGTCTTCATGAAGTTGCATGGCATACTTGTGAAAGGCTGGTCCCCGGGCATGCTGGCTGTACACACGCAAGGCTTGTGCCAGCTGATTCTTATGAACTGTCATAGTGTAATTGTGGGGCAGGTTGGACTGGTAGGCACTGTGGGCCATGGGGAGAGCCTTTTGGCAACGGTTTTCAGAAAACTTAGTGTCTATATCTAGGTACCCCTCCAAGACTTTGATGCTTCCCATAATTTTGGAGGTCAGTTCCCCAGTGAGGGAAGCTGGGTCATCATCTTTCCCCTCAATAGCCACTTCATACAATTTCTGAGCTGCAGCAACCCACTTCTGATATGTAGGAAGCTCGAAGTGAGAGGGCTGAGGGTTTCTCCCCACACTATCATCAAAGCCTTTCTTGCTGAGCACCAGCTCTACATGTTGCCATAGGAACTCCTTGAGGGTGCAGTCCACCAACTGCCCAGAGGAGCTGGAGCTGCTACTGCTACTCTCAACATGGAAGGACAACTGCTGCCTGCCATGTCTCATCATCTGATATCTCCTGGGCCCCGCCAAGGTGGGTGCCAGCAAGGAATCGGTCTCTTTCATCGTGCAGTTGCTCCTGAGCTGCTCCAGCAGCATGGCCACCGGGTCCTCTCCATCCTGGGCCCCACCAGCCACAATGTAGACAAAGGCCTGGTTAGCAGGCACAGTGAAAAGGCAGTTGATGCTCTGGTTGGTCAGCACCCGACTCTTACGGAAGATGCGGTAGATCTGGTCCTCCAGGGCATGCTGCAACCTCCTCTTAGGTGAATGCTTCTTGGGTGGGGGCTTCTCCAGCTGGCCGCAGAGGTCTTGCCCCCTGCCTGGTGGGGGGTCCACCTTCAAGGCCCCATTAAGCTGGAAGAGGAAGAGGAGACGGGGCGGGCACGGCCTGCAGTTGAGCTTCCACTCCTTGCCAACCGGGCAGTCCTTGATGGCGGCCTTGAGGGAGGGCAGCACCTTCTGCCTCAGCCCATCCAGGGCCCTGAAGACACGGTCATAGGTGATGTCGAAGGAGCAGGTGGGGTGCACCATCAGCAGGATGTGGCAGACAGAGAAGAGGTAGAGAAGGCTCAGGCAGTGCAGCTTCTCCTGGTGCTTCCAGAACTCATGGGCCTCGGCATGGGGCAGCGGGGCGCCCGGGGGGTGGCCGAGCCCCGGCACCCTGGCGTCCCCGGCGCTGAGGTCCCTGCAGGCCTGCAGCAGCTGGGGGGTGTCGCAGATGGAGGTGAGCACCAGGTACAGCACCTTGCTCTCCTGGCTGTAGTAGGCCTGCAGCAGGTTGTAGTCCTGGGCGGCGGGCTCCCCCTCTCCGGCCGCGGGCTCCCCGCCATCCCTGGGCTCGGCCCCGCCGTGCCCCGCGCTCTCCCGCTGGAAGAGGGGGAAGACCTGCCGGTCGCACACGGTGCTCACCAGCGCCGCCTTCTCGGAGCTCAGCTGCAGGGCCGTCTTGCCGAAGATGCCCACCACACACACCTCCTCCTCCCCGGGGGCAGGGGCGCCCGTCCCGCCGCTCCCCTCCGCGCCGCCGCCCCCAGCCAGCAGCAGCTCCCGCAGGCTCACCGGCACAGTCATCGCCGCGGCAGCCCAATGGGCCAGACTTCCTTCGGAGCTACTGGGCATGCGCCACAGCAGAGCATGCGCGGTAACTCCAGAAGCCGCCGGTGTTATTGCGCATGCTCATAACTCTGGGCGATGCTGAGCAGTAGGAACGCAGCTGCCCTCACCTTGCCCTCAGCCCCGTGGGTTGCTAGGTTGGGTGGGTGCGGAGAGGACAGAAGATGGGGGGGGACTAGGGAAGAAGAGGTTCAGGGAGCAGATTGGTTATCCCCAATCAAACAGCAGCACCACGAGGAGAGAGGCTATGCCAGACGTGCACCCAGCAACTCCCCTTCAAATCACCCACAATCCAGAGGAAACAGGTACCTGTAAGAGCCCAACTTCTAAAACCATCCTGCAAACAATTGACTAGTACTGTAGCCCTTCCAATGAGCAGTGGGGGGACCTTTCTAGGTTATGGAACTGAGCAAGGGGTCTGATGGATCTTTCTACTGCAACTTGCAGAAGCCACATCAAGTGGAATTCTAGGGGAATTTCCACTTGTTCCAGCTCATTCCCCCTCGAAACTGCATACGGGGTGCTGGAACAATTTTTTTTAGTGAGGGTGCTGAGAGCCATTAAACCAAACTGTAAACCCTGCATATAATGGAAACAACTTCAAGCCAGGGGATCCTGCAGCACCCCTAGTTCTAGCACCTATGTTTGCATATTCAATTAAAAGGAAATAAACTCCAGCCTGTCAACATTCATGTTTATTTTTATATATAAAAAGAATGATCAGGGCTACTTCAGTGGTTTAGTTTCAAGTTAATACAATAGGAAATGTGTAATCACTGGTGGAAAATATGCAGTGTAAACATGTAATAATTATAATAAACAAGACTGGATATTGGCAGTAGGAGTTTAAGGTGGCTTACAGTAACTACATATTTGTTTAGAAACCAAGCATGTTCATTCCATTCCTAAAACACCAATTAGGACCTCTGAGCTTTCCATTTTGAAGCACTTCATAAATATTATTAGTTAATTATCGCAACCTTCCCATGAGGTCAGTATCATAAGCCAAATTTTGCAGATGGGGAAATTGAGACACATTTAGTGACCATGCCCAAGGTCACATAGCAAGTCAGTGGGAGAGCCAGGAACTTAGGAGTTCCTCACTTCCAGTCCCCTGGCTCTAAACACTAAACAGTGGTGTCTCAAATTGGGTATGTTAATGTAAACACAAGCCAAAATGGTACATGCTGGAAAACTGTAATAATACTTTCTTATTGAGCCACATAACTATTATTTATAAAAAAATTGCTAACCTATTTGTTACAGGAAACATTGGAGTCTTAAATTACTTTCCTCTTTTGAATTTTTTCCTCTAACATTACAAATATTGCCAAAGTCATCTTTAAAAAATGTAAGACAAACAACATTAAGTTTAAATTACTTCCTTGTACATATGCATCTATATCAGAAAAAGACAGCACTTTTGGAAATTTCAGAAGAAGTCAATGTTCCAAAGGACCAAAGAAACTTCATTCTCTTCTCATCATTTGAAGAGGTACCCCAGTGTGAAGACTGAGACACATTAGGACATTCTGGGGAAGGCTGTACCTTCTGTGGATAGAAGACTTCCCTCTCGAGGACCATCAAAATGGCACTCTTTATGTGTGCTAAACTTACTTTTAAAATAACAAATTGTTTACCCCTTAGTGATATAAAATTGGGGTTAGACAAGTAGCTACCTGACGCTCAATTGACATAAAAATATTGCAGCACAGATCTAGTTTTGTTCATCAAAGCTGCTTGCAGTATGTAACCGAGCTGGAGAGGGAGTCTTTGGGTGAGCCATCTGTTAAAATAAGAACCAAGTTAGAATTTAGATTTCAGAAACAATTACATACTTACTAGCGGGTAATTCTTATTCATCGCATCCTAACTGTAAGCGAACACCTAGTCCAAGAGGATTCCTAACATGTATAACATTTGTAATCCTCAGTTTCTTTCCAGTGTCAGCAGCAGTCTTATTTTTAACTTATTGTTTTTTGGGTATTTTTGGTGTTCAAAAAGCTGCTATCACCATGGTAATCATAGTCTTTGAGAACCTCTGCATATTCCCACTTGTGGGGTGTACTCCTGCAACCACTGAGCCTCAGAGACATCTAGAAAGCAGCACCCAAAATAAGCCCCACCTCATGTGAACCCCAGATGTTTGCAATCAAAGTTATAGAAGTGCCATCCAACCCCTATCACCTCAGCTCCTCCTCCTAAATTTTAAAATCCTCTGAGAAAAGAACTCTAAGGGAGAAGGGAACACAGGGGGAGACTCTGCAAGGGTGTTGTTCCCCACACGTAGGAGGATGCAGAGGCCACACTGATGAAGAATCCCGCCTGCTGTGCATCTATTTTGAGCACTTGATTATGCTTTGAATTAAATTCCAAGATTCAAGTTTGTTTTGTATGCTACAAATAATATTTAGCACTTCTAGCATTCTTTACATTCTCAAAGTACTGAACATACATTAACTAAGTGGTAGGTAGCATGAGGCAGTCGACTGGGTATCAGGAGACCAGACTTCTGCTCCCAGCTCTGCTCATGACCTTCTGGTTGATCTTGGTCAAATCACATCACCTTTCTATGGCTGTTTTCTCATCTGTAAAATGGGAATAATGACCCTCCTTTATAAACCACTAAGATCTATGGGGGAAAAAGTTTTATTTGAGATAAGTGTCACTATTATGAGTAGTAGTAATTATGGGCTCAGCTGTATGAGGCACCAAGAGCTTTCACGTCCCACTGCCAAGCTATATGATGACATTTTGGAACAATATCTTACACTAGGCTTTTAAAACTCCAACCAAACTTTCTGCAACAAGAAACTGACAAACACAATGTCTTACCTGAAATTTGCGCCTCAGTGCCTGTGTCATTATTGGAGTCAATCCTGTGCCAGTTTCCATGTTTTCTTTGTTAGTTAATGGAGTTCCACCAGGACTCCTGAAGAGATCGTAAAAATGGTAAGGAGCATTATTCTTAAATTTCTGATTAATTAAAAAACAAAAGAAAACAGAAAGGAAGTTACCTCTGAATATTGACTTTCTTAAGATGTTTTCTAAGGTCTATTTGATTTTTGCTGGGAGTGCTGATAAAAAACAACAAAATGTTAAAACCAACATTTTTGAAGTACTATCAACGATGATTATTATTCTGAACATATACCATCTTTTCCCTGTGACATCAAAGAATGTAGAAAGTTCCTTACATTAGGAGGTTTGTAATGGGAGCTGGTAGGAGCTTGGATTTAGGTCTCAGATTAATGCTTTGTAAATCTGAGACTGTAATTAATGCCCTGTGCTTCTTCATTGGTGATCCTGCCTAAAATTAAAAAAGAAAAATGTTATCAAAAATACATTTTAAAAGCCCCCACAGAACATACAATCTATTTAATATTTATACCCTGCATGTTTTTAGTGCACTATGGCTCATCAGCTGTTTTGCGTCATTAAGATTTAATGTACCATGGACAAAAATAGCCATTTTATAGAAGATTCCTGTGCACACATTGTACAAGGAAAAATATCCATATATGGTTAAAATTCAGAAAGCTACAGGAATGCTGGATGCTATTACCCTAAACTAAAAAGGAACACACCAAGCACTGACCCTGGCGCTCTCTGTGGCCATGGGGCAAGTCACTTAACCTCTCTGCCTCAAATTCCCCATCTGCAAAGTTAGGATAACAATATTTACTCACATATCTTACTGCGGATTTGGAGATAGGATTAATCAGTTGATGAGCCCAAATTCAACTTTGGTGTGAGCCCACAGAAGTTTCTGAATGAACTCTATATAAGAGATGCATTTCATCCAATGTTTGCAGAGCGCACTGAAGGTTTATATAGATCTGCTAAGTATGATTATTAGCTGAAATCTAAAATCTGTCGTAATGTATTCACTGAACTACTTTATTAATTGGATTTATCATCATTACCCCCAAAACGTGTTGTCTAGAACTATAAAGGGCAACATAAGCAAAAGAATAGAGTAGCTAAGAATATGAATGAATAAATTATTTAAAACAACTTCACACAAGAGATGGAAATGATCAAAGGGCATAGCATATATTCAGCACTTCAATAGGGAATATTCCTTGAGGCAGGAATAATAGGTGGTGCTTAAGTTTATTTTTAGGAGAATGTTTGCGAGTTGAACTGTCAAATGCAATTTTTCAGCTAACCAGAGTACAAGCACTAGCCTTGGTTAAAACTATGGCCTGAAAAATTCAATGCATGGCTCTAAATGAAAACAAGAGAAGTTTTGCAGAAGCCAAGAAAGATCAGGAATATGATTCTGGTCTCTACAACCCAGATTCTCAAAGGTATTTAGGCACCTAACCCCCACTGATTTCATTGGATCCACAGCTGTACACCAACTGAGGCTGAACAACAATATAGATTTCTTGACTTAGCAAATGTTTGTTTATTTAGCCATTAGTAGGGCCCTACCAAATTCACAGTCCATTTTGGTCAATTTCACAGTCACAGGATTTAAAAAATAATAAATGTCATGATTTCAGCTATTTAAATCTGAAATTTCACAGTGTTGTAATTGTAGGGGTCCTGACCAAAAAAGGAGTGTTGGGGGGTTGTAAAGTTATTGTAGGGGGGGTTGTGATACTGCTACCTTTACATCTGCGCTGCTGCTCGCGGTGGCGCTGCCTTCAGAGCTGGGCAGCTGGAGAGCGGTGGCTGCTGGCCGGGAGCCCAGCTCTGAAGGCAGAGCCGCCACCAGTTGCAGCGCAGAAGTAAAAGTGCCATGGTATGGTATTGCCACCCTTACTTCTGCTCTGTTGCTGGCAGGGCACTGCCTTCAGAGCTGGGCACCTGGCCAACAGCCACCGTTCTCTGGTTTCCTAGCTCTAAAGGCAGCGCAGAAGTAAGGGTGGCAATACCACAAGCCCCCTAAAATAATCTTGTGACCCCACTACAACTCCCTTTTGGGTCAAGACTTCCAATTTGAACACTGGTCTCCCATGTGAAATCTATAGTATAGTGTAAAAGCACA